TTCTCGGACCATGCACCATGTCCACATCTTCCACCACCTGCTCAATGTTCACAATAGGTGGTACCACTTGCGCAAGTGCAGCAGCCGGCAATCTTGCCAAGACTTGAGCCAGCATGCCCAACACTGCTTCTAATCCAATAGGAGCCGCAACAGCCCCAGCTGTAGCATGAGCAGTTACTGCTGCGTTCACATTCACAACAGTCTCCACATTCTGTGCTTCCTCGTGGTCGGCAGCAACATTCCCAGCCGCACTAGCACCAGAATCCTCAACAGTTTCCCTTGCATTCCTTCTCGTGCTACGATTACCCCTAGCCATCTACAATGACCAGAACCAGGTAAGTTAGCCCAGCACTAACTTCACGTTTCCCATGGACAAAGAAACACAGCCTTACCACGAGACTTCAGGCTTGGAAGGATGGATTTAACCCACTACCCGTTTATGCTAAAGACTATCCTAGAATCGACTACGCTCTGATACCAAATTGAAACGCCCAGACCCGAATTTCCTTACCGCGGTGAGATTCCGGATCGATTTGTTCCAACCAAACTTGGCCATTTCAGATTAAGCTCTTGAAATTTTCTACTAATTTCCTTTACTTAATTATTATCAACATACTTTCGATTTAGACAAGACTTTATAGCATAAAACGTTTAAACTTGGATTCAACCGCAAGGTTACAATACAATGATCAGTTTCGCTACATAAGCTATTACATTGTAAAGACCTAGCTACCCGATTCAATCCACCATTCTTCCCTTTCCAGCCTTAGTCACCGCGGTCACATTTTCGGATTCCCATCACGGGCAATCACTTTACCTGCATCAATAAAGGAGGCATAAGCAACAAAATTGTTTAGTGAGAGCGGTCATCCCATCCCATCCTATCGGCATCAATCACTTGTCGGCCCGATTATCCCAAGTCACCCGAGCAGTTTTCCCGCAACCAGACAAGTCTTAGCGAGCATCGCTGCCCTTAAGCGTGTTGTCTGATCTAAACTCTCGGTGAAAGGGATCAATCGTCACGATCAAGCCAGAAACAGATAAACACAGTCGGAATCACCCTAGACTCGATGAATCTATGCAAGAAAATGATCCTACACTTAGGCCTATGGTCACGCACTCACCTTAGTCTTTCGGATTCGATTTGCCTTGTCCCGTTCCAGTTCTGACACCTCCTGCCGCGATGATCACTCAAACACCTAGTCCAGCCGATCGCCCAGGTTCCAACAGACATGATCGTCGTCATGTACGGACACGATCAAAGTTACCCACACTCGAGTCTTTCACAAAATCTATCGAGCCATCAATATATAGGCTCAAAGGAAAATGCCACTATCAATACAATATGACTAGCATCACCTAGACTCAATATATATATCAATAGTGCATGCTTACGTCACCTACGTTAAGCCCATGCACGCCACCAGTTAGTGCAACCTGCGCTGGCACTTCTAGAAGGCCGCCACCCTTTACCCAGTCAGATTTACTGCCCAGTCCAGTACTTCCCTGATTTTACTATCTCGGCCAAAACTGACCCATCCGACTCGAGCACTTGTCCGCGTCGGCCAAAACCGCGGAACACGGGCGTTACAGCGAGCCCACTGCAGCTCCTAAACCGGCCGACGGGTCAAGGTAGCAGTACGACCCGACCGTATGGGGTGACTGGCTAGCCTGTATATGAATATATATTGTATTGTGAAGTGTACAGTATGATGGAAGTCAATTGTTAAGTTAAGTTGTGACGTGTTAGAATGGTTAGATTGCTTGTTTTTAGGCATTCTAGGTTGTATGTTTCCTTGTGCCATATCTTAGTTTAGTATATGCGTTTAATGTTATAAATTATTATTG